CTGGATCATCATTTATAGTTCTATCCAATCGTTGCTCATTCTTCCCATGTCTGACTCCATTTCTCGACGTAATGTGTTCTTCGGTCTTCCTCTTCTCCTTTATTTAGCCTTGAGGATTCCATCTGAGGACTTGTCTTGTGTTACAGTTCAGTGCCTTCCTCATTGTGTGTCCTATCCACTTCCAGCGATTATTACTCTTTCCTTTCTTCCTAGAATGTGGTTTTTACTCGCCCACAGTACGTTATTGTTGATAATGTCTGGCTAAAGTATTTTGCGCAGACAACTGTTAATAAACACTTGTATCTTCTGGATGATGGCTTTCGTAATTGTTCAAGTTTCCGCCACATACAGTAGAACTGTTCTGACATTTGTATTGAACATTCTGACTTTGTTGTTTGGTAGATGGTTGTTTTGAGTTCCAGATATTCTTCAGTTGTAGACATTCTGCTATTGTTTTGCTAATACACGACTTCACATCTACATCATATCTACCATGTTCATCAATGATGCTACCCAAATATGTAAATGTTTTTCCATCTTTCAAAGCTTCTCCATCAAGTGTGATTCAACTGGTACACAATAAATAGACATTATTACATAACTTCATTTTTACACTTTAATCAAAAAATATTATAACAAAATGAGATTTTATTCTTTTTGATTAAGATCATGACCCTTATTGAAAACCTGGATCCACTAGACGACCATTTCATCTCATTATGGGAAACCTTATCAGTGCTCATCCATGATCCTGTTCATGAACACTTAAAAACTCTAGATCAATGAGCCAGTATCCAATAATGTTATTATCAAACTTCAATCAATTCACAAAATGACACGATCACCTTCTATGGTCTGAGGTAGATACCTATCTTTATCGTTATAATTATGCATAATAAATAGACATTACTACATAACTTCATTTTCTACACTATAATCAAACAACAATAATATATTTAAAAAATTACATTTTATTCATTCAATATCTATAATTAAACTAAAACAAAATATCAGATGGGTTTTGTGGATATTATAGTAACTTCAATGGTTAAGATCATGTATTAGTTGAAGCTAGACCACTACGGAAAACCTGGAAGCACTGGACTAATATTTTGATTCTCACAGGGGGCGAGGTCCTGGACGCACACCGCTGAGGAGTCCCACAATAGGACGAAACGGACGTTCAGTGAGTCCAAGTTTTCCATAGTAGTCTAACTTCAACGGACTCATGATCTTAACCATTAAAACAATATAGTAAACATAAAAAACGTAAGTATATTTTTTATTTTTTTGTTTTTACTTTAAATCTATGCATCGTTACATTTTGAAAACAAACAAACAAACTAAAAAAAGAGTTTGAATTTTCGGCGCGCACGATGGGAGGGGGGGTGGATGATTGTTTGTTGAATGAATTATGTAGTTGAAATAAAAGACAAAAAAGAAAATAGAAAAAAAACAACATTTTTATGCAAATTTATTTTAAATAGAATAATTCATAAGTGTTAGATTATTTTTCTTTTTTTTTTGAATTAATTATTCTGATTAAAATTAAATTGATAAATTTGCATTAAAACACAATTCAATTTGATAAATTAACTTGAAGAGGGCTAAATAGGACGAAACTCACGTCCTCGATTTCACTGTTAGCCACTATCCATCTTTGATTATGAAATAACTTCAAGAGAGTTTAGAATAAGAATTATGGTAATCAGGATAGCCTACTTACTTACTTACTTACTTACTTACTTACTTACTTACTTACTTACGCCTATCACCCCCCCTGTCGAGGAGCATATGCCAGTCATCAACATTCTCCATCCAAATCGTTTCCAATCACTCATCGTTTTTTCATGTTTGATTCTAATTCTTTTGCATAATGTATTCTTTGGCCTTCCTCTTTTTTGTTTCCTTTTAGGATACAGTTTATTGATTTTCGTAATGTATGTCCTATTCACATACTCTATAGTATCTTCCTTATCTGGAAGCTAGTTTATTATCTCACACAGTAGGGTGTTGCTGATGGTATCCGACTAACAAAGGATATTCGGTATCTTGAGTAGAAAATTGGTTATAAATACTTGTACCTTTTTAATGATGGTTGTCATAGTTCTCCACGTTTCAGCTTCGTACAGTAGAACTGACTTTGTTGACGTTCGTATTGAAGATTTTGACTTTGATATTGGTTGACAGACAGTAATTTTTAGTTGCATATATTCTTCAATTGTAAGAATGCGGTCCTTGCTTTGCCAATCCCTTACTTTACATCTGCATTCGATAATGCAGCTGTCCAGATACATAAAACCATTCATCTCTTTCAGATTTTGTTCATCACGTATGGTATCGGGAGAGCAATCGGATTATTATTTAATCTTTGCTTATAACTCCTCAATAGTGTACACTATTCTAACCTTATATATGATCGAACCTAGGACACATGGATATCTTAAAGTTTATAATACCACTCAGATATTGGTTCTAAATTCAAATGGTCATGAACTGACTGAAGTTGAACATTTGTATAAATATCTTTCATTTTAACAATTTCGAAATATTGTGTTCCTTGTGAAATCTCAGTATATTTTTTTAAACTTTCATTTAACGTTGCTGGTGCATATTTCTGAATAGTGGAAAGTTAGAATACTTCCTAGTTTCTAATAATTTACTTTGATTGGTAATAATTTATAAATCAAACTACCTTCAAATGATCCTTTCATTATTATTCTCGTCATGAATTCAAAACGTTTTTCATGTAGTCAGAAGGGGCTTTGTGGAGATTTTAGAAATTTCAATAGTTGAAATCATAAAATCAATTAGAGCTAGACCACCTTGAAAAATCTGGAATTACTGAACAGCCGTTTCGACCTAGTATGGGACTCCTCAGCAATGTAAATCCACAATCCCGCCCTGCGAGGTTCGAACCCAGGACCTACCAGTCTTGTGCGCAAGAGCTTAACCATTAGACCACTAAGCCAGCCTACATCCAACAGTGTTGACGTCTAACTTCGACCAATCCACGAAATTGCGCCACCGTACACCACTGTCTTCATATAGATTTCACTCCTTCCTACTACTAATAATAGTATTACTCACAATTATTCATCAACAGAATATATTCTCATTAGCATTTTAAATGAGAGAAAAAATATGTGTAAAGACACACATATACAGAAGAGATAGATTGTGGTTGGGATTGGAATCCCAACTGATCGTTTATTTTTATTTTTGGGATTCATCGACTCAGAATGTCGATAGTGGGATCATTTAAACACTTATTGAAAATCACGTTGGCGATGCAGAAACAAGTTAGTAAATATCTAGAATTCATAGGTAAATAGATAATGCGTTACTTTCTGTCATGAAAAGTAGGAGATTTGATTATTGGTGTGAGCGTAAACAGTTGGATGCAAACACATGCAACCGATGAGTCCCGAGAAGGACGAAACGCCAGGTCGCAAATCCTATGCTAGCCACAAACTGTCTACTCCATTTAAATGATTTTGCGTTTATACAGCAAAGTAGTCCAAATCGTAAGCCTTTTATCATATGCATAAATATCGTCAACACAAAGTCGAAAATCACCTAATCCAGATAAAGCAACACGTAAAATATTTCTTATGACCCACAGATTTTCTTTAACATGTAAATAATTTTAATAAATGAGATCATTAGTCGGCTGAAGCTCGACCACCATGGAAAACCCGAAAGCACTGGATGGACTTTTTGTTTTATTGTTGGACTCCTCAGCAGTGCGCATTCACGATCTCATCTCGCGAGATTAGAACCTAGGACCTACTAGTCTCGTGCACGAGCGCTTAATCACTAGACCACTGAGTCGGCATCCAACGGTGATTTCAATTACTAAAATTACTATGATATCCACAACACCTCCTCTGATGTAGACAATTAATGAAAAAAAACAGTTGAAGAGATAGTCACTCGAAGTTCTGTCGAAAATCGGGTTAATAATACGATTTGAATAATTATAAAAGACCAAGTTTCTCACTATAAGATAATGACAGATGTTTCCATACTCTCCCAGGTTAGAATATGTATTTCAACAGAGGATTCTAGTGGTATAAACGATACTCAAATGATCTCTAAATATTCATGAAATATAGTAAATACAGCGTGATTACACCATAAGATGTATCTTAAAATCTTCATCGACTTGTAGTACATTTTATATTTCATCGTCATATCCGTATTTATTTCAATGATTCATTAATGTTGCAGTAATACATAATACATTAGAGTATGTAACGTAGATCCGGTTAACTCAAGATAATCTAACAATAACCATCTGACTGAGATATACGATAACTCTGGATTATAAATTATGTTGCCCACCATCTAACAACTAAGTCATTGTCAGATACTATTCAAACATTAGATTCAATTCAATCCAATTAAATATGGAATATAGATTAATACATCCTTCGAATATGTCAATAATCACAGCTCTAGATCATTATAACAATAACAAATGGTTTGATCATCTAATGAGATTAGAATTTATCGACTACTTTTGAGCGACGCTAAACTAACCTTGATAGTGTCTATCTACTTACTAAGACTAAATAAGGGTTATAAAGCAGTTTGAAGAATAAGAATTATAATTCAAAATTGATGATTAAGGTTAAGAATTAGATTTAGTGTTTTCATCACAAACTGATATCAATTATCATATCAAAACTATATTAATTCAAATGGATGAGTGAATTTCACGTCAAAATCTAAGATCTGTTATCTTAACTCTGATTGGTTCATCTTCTATAAATTATAGTCTCGTCGATCATCTAAACATCTACAATAGAATATACATAGTTCCTATTAATAAGCACATTGACCCTCGAATATAAAAGTACCACAACCTTATTATATAAAATAACAAGTTATGATGTAACTATAGAGATAGAACTAGTAAACATAAACATTTATATATATATTTTTTTTTTCAATAATTTTTTTTCATTTTCATTTCTTTCTTTCTTTCTTTTCTTGAATGTATGTTACTTTGGTTCTTTCCTTTGATAATGACTTATTTAAATAATATTGAATCATCATTATCTAAGGAATTTAAATCAGATCTTTTCCATAAATGATCTTTTATTTCATAATGATTCTTTTCGTAATTATTATCATTATTTATATCAAGATTAATCTGTTTATCATCAATAGGATCATTGTCATATTGATTATGTAATTCTTTCCATGTTTGTCGATCAATATATAGATTTGGATATTGATTAATCATATGTAAAGGGATAATATTTTTATCAAGTTGTAAATAATCATTATGATTATTATCATGTGAATGATCATAATGATGAAGATGATGTTGTTCATGATCTTTTATTTCTTTTTGCTCTTTTTCTTGTTCTTTTTCTTTTGATTCCCTTTGTTGTTTTATTAATTGTCTTAAAATTAATAAACGTATCTTTTCTAAAGTTAATTGTTTTTTAATATTTTGTTCAGAATCATTTAGGATTATATTCTTGTTGTCGTCATCATCATCAACATCATCTATATATTCATGAAAAGGGTAATCATATAAGTGTTGAACATATAATTCATTATGTGGATCAGGTACAGGGAAAATATTTCTCTTTTTCTTCATATTATTATAACGCTGACGCTGCTGATGCTGATGATGATGTCCACGATGTTCTTGATTACGTTTTTCTCTATTATTATCATTATAATCAGTAATAATTTGACCGCCTACTTCTTCATCAAGTAAGTAGTCTTGATTTATTTTCGGCACTTCTATAAATGCTCGCTTCTCATGAATGTTATCATCATTTGAAAAATTATCAATGATATTATTATCATTATCATTAGTAGTAGTGGTATTCCATGATTGTTTTAATGAGTTCAATATTTGTCCAACAAGTTGAGCACGATATTTAGCTTCATCAGCTGCTTTATTTAATAAATCAGCTTTTTGAATTGTTTCATTAGCAGCATTCTCTAAATGAATTGCTTTATTCACTTCTGAATCAACTTGTAAAGCTAATGCTAATTGTAAACGTAATATTTCTTCTTCATTTGGTATTGATGAAATAGAAGATGATACTGACCCTATTGTCGGCAATAATAACGATGATGATGACGACGACGACGACGACGGTTCAACTGATGTTGGAAGGTAAGATAATACATCATGTACTAATAAATCTTCATTATTTATATTGTCAAATTTAGAATGATCAATAGAATTCACATAATCTCTTGAATGTAACGGTGAATTAGATGTATATTTTATAATACTGAATAAAGTAATTACTAAGGTATAAGTACCGTATAAATTCCAGAACATATATTATGTAATATGAAATATATATGAATATTCTTGTCTTTATAAAGGATATAGTAATGAAGCATGTAAAATTTACAATTATACTATGTTTATTATAGTTTTAACAGTAGACTACTGTTGGTTTCTTTTCTATACTCATGCTTTTGGTATTATCAACTTAACAACAAAATTTAATATAAGTACACGAGTATATATTTTTTTCTTTATTTTTAGCCATAGATACTAAACTTGATAACAAACAATAATATGATTGGTTATTAACATTGGGATAATCATTTCTATACTCAATATGTATATGCCCTATTCATTCTAGATAGGCAGACATAATCTTAGAAATTGTATAGAAAATATATATCACTGTTTGTATGTAAGTAAACTTTGAGTAGGTCGATACTACTGTTTACATAATGATAAATGAAATATTTATGAAGAACTTGATCGATACATTAGATAGATACATAAGAGTGTTAAATAACCAATTAAAAGTGTTAGACCTACCTTTCTGATCCAGGGTAAAGAAAAATATTAAAATGTAAGGGAATGTGAGCAATAGTGGAAAATAGAGAAAAAAAAACAACAAACATAAATGCTTCATTTTAAAGAGAAAAGAACAAGCATGTCTGAAAGTGATTGTGGTTTATGGATGCTTGTAGGTGAATAGAGTCAATAGTACAATTATAATTTTATGCAAAACCGATCCTGTTGGATTCACTATTGGTACTGAATAGCTCCAAGTAAAAAAACCCAGTTTTTTGTCACCAAATGGGTTACTGATAAAGTATGACTTTAATATACTACTCATGACATAAAGTTTAAATAATCGATTGGTCTTCGATTGTATCCTAAATTGTGTACATTATTTCTTAACTCATGTTTAAATTGTAAGCAAAGATGGATTGTGGCTAGAAGTGGAATTCAGAATGCGCGTTTCGTTTTATTTAGGACTCGTCAACTGGATGTACCGACATCTCAGAGTTGATATTTAATCCAGGACTACGAATCCAGTATCGTTCGCTTTAAATGCTATCCCGTTATCCACTTAACTATTGAGTCCTGTTAGCCACCTGTTTGTGCAATGGGGTGAATGTACATTAAGCTGACGAATCCCAAATATGACGAAATCTCATATCTTGAATCCTACTGCTAACCACTATCCATCCTTACATATAAAGCTTATGACTTAAGGTAATATCGAAGCAATCCTCATATGATGTACATATGCCAATAAGAGTTTGATCAATTTCAGTCTTAAACAACAATGGAAAGATACAGACAAAGAATACCAAGTAAGAAGTTTTATTGTTTATTTATTTTATCTTTTGATAAGGTAATCAATATTGATTGTTTAAAAAAGATGTTGTTTGTTCGTTAAACAGTTGAACTATTGAACTCTAAATTGAAAGAAAAACGACCTAACAATTTAGAATGACTGCAAATGTAGAAAAAAAAACGAACAAAATTTGCCATTTAAAAAATCAATAGACGTTATGAAACTCTGGTTATAAGCTTTAGCAGCAAGGGATTTTGTGGAGATTTTAAAAATTTCAATAGTTGAAATCATGAGTCAATTGAAGCTAGATCACCAGTTGTTTAATGGTTAAGCGCTCGCACACAAGACTGATAGATCCTGGGTTCGAATCTCGCGGGGTGGGGCAGGATCGTGTATGCGCACTGCTGAGGAGTTTCATACTAGGACGAAAAAGCCGTCTAGTACTTTCAGGTTCTCCATGGTGATCTAGCTTCAATAGACTCATGATTTCAACTATGAGCTTTACTCATGTTTTGAATCATTTATCAATTATAACCCTCGTGTGATACTTCTTTCATAAGAAACAGGTGATTTAGATATGATATATATGATATCGATGTATAGAAGTACTTTTATGGCTTTGATCATTTTGTATACGAATATAGGAGCGAATGTAATCAACACCAACTGTTTGTAATCAATAACCTACCAAACCGAAAGATGCCGTTACATTTGTATAACAAAAGTGAAAAATAAATAAAAATTATGATAGAACATGAAATCAGAATGGAGATTTGTGAAGAATATAGTAATTTTAACAGTTGGATTCATGAGTCAATCTAAGATAGATCACCATGGAAAGCCTGAAAGCACTGAGCTGTCATATCTTCCTCTTATGAGACTCCTTAACAGTGCCCTGGTCCAGAAGTTAAGCATTTGCGCGTGAAAACGAAGGTCCTAGGTTCCTGCAGCATCATGGATGTGCAATGATGAGAAGTTTTGTATTAGGACGAAACGGTCGTTTAATGCTCTCAGGTTTTCAGTGGTGGTTTAACTTAGATCGATTCGCGAAATCAACTGTTAAAAGATCTTGGAATGTTGATCCAAGTAAGAATTTTAAAAATGGGTTTCTCAAGTCTCTACATTTTAATATCAAGAATTTATGTTGATTATGGATGAATGAACGCATATGGTTTTGGACTTACCACTGTGTATACTTTTTTCGAAGAAAATATAACTAAGAAATCAACCACATGTTTCCATACGTAACTTTATACCAAAAGACTAAATTAAAGATTATTCATACAAGGTGAACGATCAAACTTGTAATATAATGGTTGTAAATCTAGTAATTTAACCTTTAAGTAACCCCATCAATTAAGAAGTCCAACTATGGTGGTGTGTATTTTGTTTGCTCTTCAGAAAGTAAATATAATTTGATGAAAAATACAAAAGCTTCTTAACTAAAGATGGATTGTGGCTAGAAGTGGAATTCAGGATGCGCGTTTCTTCCTATTTGGGACTCGTCAATTGGATGTACCGGCATCTCAGAGTTGATATTTAATCCAGGACTACGAACCCAGTACCATTCTCCTAAAAATTCGCCACGTTATCCACTTAGCTACCGAGTCCTGTTAGCCACCTGCTTGTGCAATGGGGTGAAGTTCAAAATCACTTGCTGTTGTTTTACTTCTATCTTCCCCATCGTCTAGGACTCCAATTGATCAGCCTCTCATTAGCATACATGCATCCTGTGCTTATTGCCTAGCTATTTCCTTTTGAATTTCATTAGTATTTTTTACTATCTACTTAAAAAGTTAGATAACGGTATCATAGAATATGAAAATCCACACCACCACCATGCTTAATGTAACCAATCTGGAGACTACAAAACTGATTTGTCCTCATCAAACAATCCTTACATGGCATAACAGTTAGCGCTGTTGCAACACATTATAGCGACAAAAAGTTAATGAAATGGTATTTTGTGAAATATAGATAGGTTTGATTAACGTTATGCGCATGTGTGGTGTGTGCTACTGATATCGGCAGATATAAGTAGCAAATATCACCAATCGAATATAAAATGCCTAGTGGCAGAAGTTTAAAAAGATCGAAGATAAGAGAACCAGAACAAAAAATGATTGGTTTGGAAACGAAAGAACAATAAAATCCGAGACGATTGATTGATATTTTCCATATGATGTATTCACCGAATTGTTCTCAAATTTTACTAAGTGATTCTGTAATTTTGTATTCAAATACATTCGATTGTCCCCACTTGTGAGGAACATTACACGCATCACGATGATTCGTTAATTTTCCTCCACCTTTGTTGTCTGGAGAAATACAAAGCGATTACAGCTAAATTTATACATCAGATATATCAGAAAATGTAGAGAGATTAGATAGAAGCAAGATGGATGGTAAACATTTTAGGGATGAATAAGAGTGGCACATAATCATTGTTTATAAACTTCCATACACATTTTTTTGAATGTTCACATGTTAACTACTTAAAAAATAAGAATTTCGTTACAACACTGTGTGTTTGTGTTGAGAATTGATCGCTGAAGCCAAATATTTAGTATCGAACAAAGAGAGCATTATTATTAACCAATACAGTTCAAAATGAATGTTAGACTTTATTTTTATTTATTTGAACACATCAATATTGGTAAAAAAGGGGCACCAAATACATATCCACGACATAAGTCACTTGGTTTGTGAGTGGGCTGTGATACTGCCCGGGTGCCCAAACTGAAGCAAATGGTATCCTAAGGGGGACCACACCTGGACCCTTCGACCTAAAGGGTTGATCCACATAGCAGTGGAGGAACGTAAAGAAATACAGTCCCAATGGTAGTCGCTGACCAATAATTGGTTATTACGCAATTTTTTCACTCAGGATCTTGGAGCTCATGTACGCTATTGGTTCGGAATCACTATTTTTCATCTGCCCTAGGTGGATCCGCCATATCCACCAACCCGGTTAAAGCGCCGGACACTTGCTATTCGTCCTCTCGATTTTGTAAACAATACCCCTGCCGCGAGAAGGCAGTGAATAGAAATTCCCTGGCCGTGGATGTATACGCGTGACCATGTGAGATAATTTAGAGAGTGATAGCTGACTCTCCCTTACCATCGGCCTTATCAGGGCATTTGAATTCCAAAAACATTTTGAACTTGGACATCAATCCTTTTAGAACTATGAAAGAATATTCAGAGATTTGTTTGTAAAATGTAGTTTAAGGTCAGACCTTGAAACATACTTTTACATTAATATCGATTACGTAAAATGTTACTAATATCTAAAATAAAACTTATCAAATGTCCAGTTGATGTAAATCCTAAACGTTTGAACTCTTAACCAGTTAACAGAAATATTTTTAACCTTTTTTTTAAATATCATAAGATACCGGTGAATTTCACTTGATCTATAAGTAGTATCTTTTATCTGTTCTAAAATCTTCAGGATTATGAAAGGTTATTACGGTTCCTTTATAGGTGAAAAAATAAATCAAGGTTACTATTATATCCTGGTGACGATTCAATTACGGGTAATTTCTGAGAACTATTAATGAATTGATATTATATATATTCTCATTGTATAACTACTAAGTAGCTAGGGGGCGAGGTCGTGGATGCGCACTGCTGAGAAGTCCCACAATAGGACGAAACGGCCGTTCAGTGCTTTCAGGTTTTCCGTGGTGGTCTAGCTTCAATTGACTAATGATTTTAACTATTGAAAGATGAATATATGTTAAGAGAAACACATCTTCGAATAAACAACTTAGAAAGAACAATCAATCATATACGCTATACAATCTAGTGGTGAACTGAATTCAGTAGCTCAGTAGATAATAAGTTGGATGTTTGAATTGGAAGGTAATAAGTTTACTGTTATGACCTTGAATGTCTGGTTTTGCTATCACGCGACTTATCGACTAATTCGAATACGACTTATACGATTTCGCACTATGCCAAACCAATGACGTTCAACCGGTGTGGGCAGTTTAGCGTCCTTATTGGT